ACAACATTTGGTCCAGTCAACATAAGTTTACTATATTTTTGTGTGATCAAACAATACTCTGTGTTATTTTCCATGAACATTTAAAGCTGTTCCACTCTCTTTAACAGTTTTTTTAATATAGGACTAAATATCATAATATCAAGACCAAAGGCCCTGTCACACTACAACATTTTTGACAACTTACTGACATATGAACATTTTGTTATGACTAATTTACTCATATAGGTTATTTAAGCTAATCAATAGCATTATAATCAGAATCAGAAACACTTTATTGCCATTGTCAGTAATTAAGTTACAGACTAGGAATTTGCTCTGGTGTAATGGCGCGCATAAGCAAGGAGTAAGAGAACTAAAGCTAAGTGGTTGAAGTGAGGAAGGAAAACAAGTCAGAATACAAAAGCAAAAATGCAAGCATGACCAGCAGTGATGGGCCAGAGCCGATTAAACATTGTCCATTAGTCTAATGGCTGATGGGAAAAAACTGTTCTTGTGGCGGGAGGTTCTGGTCTGAATGGACCGTAGTCTTTTGCCTGAGGGGAGGGGATGACAGTATATTTACATCCAAAGAGGCTTCCAATAGATTTATTTTATTCCATCTTCAATATAGACATATTCAGTATCGGACAAATTTTCACAAGTTGGCATAAGTTGTCAAAAATGCTAGAATGGAACAGGGCCTTAAAAAATTATGATTGACATCTTCCTCTAGAGAAGGTAGGTGTCTTTTTTGCATTTCAGACAGAGTAATATGATCTCAGTTCCTGCAAAAACCATAACCAACAATCTAATCAAACTTTTTACTGACATTTAATTTTAAAATGAAGTAAATTTTATACAAAACATAAACACTGGGTACATTAAACATCAGCAGTAATAGGAAAAGTGTAGAGCAACAAGAAACGACTTCCACTGGCAAAAGTCCAGCATATATTTAGTCATCTGTCCCAAAAGACAGCATTATAACTCTTACTGTTTGTTTTGTGTCAGTGTATGTCTGTGTGTGTGTGTGTGTGTTGTGTGTGTGTGTGTGTGTGTGTGTGTGTGTGTGTGTGTGTGTGTGTGTGTG